TTACATTATATTTTTATAAGTTTATAATTATAATTTATACATTTCATTTGCCGCCGTTTGGTTCCGCTCGAATAACGTAGGCTGTTTTACAGTGGTTCAATTGCATTTCCTACATGATGAGTACATGTTATTGTTAGAAACTGATATTGCTACTAGTGGTAACTACAAATACCTGGAATCTTGTCGCATCAGGTATACTGCAACTATATTAGGTTATTTTGTAAACAGCAACGTTATTTTGTCAATATCGCAAGGCATGCCTGTGCCGATTGTGATAGCAGAACGTCTCAGTTAGCAGCGCCATCTACTACTGTCAGTAATTTAAAAATGCCGTGTTTCGTCTCTCTCTTCTTCTCTTCATTCTCCTCCTCCTCATCTCCCTTCTCCTCACCCCTCCCCATTTTCCTCCTCTCATCCTTCTTCCCATACTCCCCCTTCTTTCCTCACCCACCGCTATCCTTTCTTTTCCGCTTCCTATTCTCTATATTCTTATGTCTTATTCGTGCCGTTCGTCTTATCCTATTCCACCACCACCTCCCCCTCCTACGCCACCACTACCTCCCCCTCCTCCGACGACACCACCACCTCCCCCTCCTCCTACGACACCACCTCACCCTCTTCCATTTTCTCCCCCTCCCTCTTCATCATTAATTAATTTAGCATCATCAGCTTCTTTCTTGATCCCTCTCTCTTCCTCCGCCACCTCGATCCTCCTCTCACCCGTTTTTTCTCGTTGTTCTTTCTGAATTGTAAAGTGCTGCGCAGCATTGCTTCTTCCTGCCTAATCACGAGCAGGAAACGAAATGGTAGCTATATTTAGTGGCGTAGCCAGCCTTTCCAAGAGGGGGCCGGATTCCAAACCAAGAGGGGGGATTCCAAACCTATACTATCTACTAATAAAACTTCGTTAAAATTTTCGTTTCATGCTTTTATATACATACTGTATCAGATATGTGCTATTTTGATACAAACCAGGGGGTATTCCGGAATGCCTGGAATCACCCCTGGCTAAGCCCCTGATATTATTAAAATTGATGCACTGCTGATATATTCCGATATAGGCCGTCACGTTTCGCTGAAAGCTTTGCGTTGACAATTATTGCGTATTGCAATGGCATATGTTTTTTTATACCGTACATTTCTGTTTAGAACATATATTTTGAATAATTGTATAAGTGAAGCTGCAGGAAAGATCGAACCTCTTTGCCAATTGAGTCATCTCCCAAAGTGCAAAAGGAGAAGAAGAAAAAAAAGAAGAAGAAGAAGAAGAAGAAGAAGAAGAAGAAGAAGAAGAAGAAGAAGAAGAAGAAGAAGAAGAAGAGAAGAAGCGGGTAGAAGAAGGGGGAGGAGGAATTAGTGAATGAGAAGGATGTGGAAGAGGAGGGGGAGGAGGAGGATGAGGGGAGGAGGAGAAGGAGGCGTAGGAGGAAGATGAACAACAGCACAGAAAGCAATTAGAAGTCCCAAAATTTAACTAATCTGATCCTGATGTCCTATATTTGGCAAATTTAAGTACGTCTTGTTACGTTATGGGAAAATGTTTTCCATTCATCTGATCCAGGACCTTGATGCGGGCGCAAAATAAAAATTTCGATCGATGAAGATGATAAAAACGAAAATTTTTACGTCGTATTATAAAAGGTATGAAATTATGATAAAAAGTGTGACAATTCCACGATCGCGTTATTTCAATACCGTGTAAATCAAGGTCATATAGAAATCGACGGTTGCCTGTAGTGTATTCTGTATTTTGGTTTCTCTACTGATGACAATTCGTGGTTATAAATTATTTCTCCCGGTAGATGGAGCAACAATGTTATCGACTACACCTTGAACAGACTTAGAGGTCTGTCACCAAGTCCTCAATATATTGCTTATCTATTGTCCTAACATGACAGCATGTCAAAGGTTTTCATGTACTAGTATATAATAATGATAACAATTACTGTTATTCTTCTTATTATTTATTTCCCCTTGTATCTAGTCCTGATATCATATACACGTAGGGGGCCGAGCATAAATGTAGCAGCGATAACATATGCACCGCCGACGGAGATTCTACCCATTGATATTCAACACGAGTAAGATAATAGCTTATTATTAATTAGGTCATTGCGTTTTATAATAATTGCTTTTCCAAGTTAGTTTATTTAATCATCAATATGTAAGTTATTGTGTTACTCCTAACATCGATTGAGTAATGGTCGAATGAGCAATTACGGAACCTCTATAAAATCTCGCACCGCATAAAACCGCGACTGGGGAGATTGCATCAGTAAACAGATTTTACTGAGTAAATAAATAATTAGATATACCATGTCACGCGAACGGGTGCGCGTGCGTGCACGAACCGTGGAAAGATCGGGACACCTGTCCAGCACGAATTTCATTCATAACGTAATGACGGTGGGCAGCTATTGTGCGCGGCTAAGATTTAAATGTTGTTTTATTTTTCGCATTACTTCTGTTGCATTATCTTGATTCAAACGCTTGCAACTACACTTGAGCGTTCTTAGATTAACACACACAAACACGTAAAGAGCTCAGATACGAGTGAAACACATCCGGGAAACGGACAAGAAACGTGAGAGCACAGCAATGTTTCACGACCGATTGATAACGGCTTATATACTATGTGACTCAAACTAGAAGACCAGACGCACCTTATCAAACCTTTTATTAAAGAAAACGAAAGTACATTAAATTGCCACCGATATTTCATAGTACGTTTTCCCACAGTATAGAACCGAAGCATAGGCCAGTTCCGTAGTCCGCGATCTCTTAGCTACCCCCGTGCAATGACGACCAAATCCCAATTCTGTTTCTTGCTCATAACGCAACAGCCAACACCAGTGGTGTTGTTATGAAAATATACAACCCACGACAGTATATGATAATTATCTATAAAATGCGCATCAACGTACTGACACTTTCACGTCGCTCTTTCACGGGTGTACTACACACATATATATATACACACACGCACGTTCAATCCACTAATTTTTCACTTCCGTCAAATCCACTGGGTTATGACACAAAGTTTGATAAATATTCTTTGTTGCAATTATTAGTACACAACACGTCTAGAATTAGATAGGTTATCTTTGCGTTATAAGAATCATACTAAAGTACTAAGAACAAAGCCTATTTCTGACCTTTCGTCTTTATAAATCGTGTGTATGTTAGGCATTGATGTGAAAACGTGAACATATATGCATGTATATAATATATTGTTGTTGTATAAATATTACATTGTTTCGCCAGCTTAGTACTTACCGTACACGCTTACAAAACCCCATAAGGCCAAAACAAAATATATGTGTGGTTACCGTTACATGCCGAAAAAAATAGGGTAGGTAGGTAAGAGAAACATTTTATTTTCTTGAAATATTTTATTTACGAACCATGTCCGAAGGATGTGCGTTGTGCCTTTTGAAGCAGGAACTGTCCAATTCATACTTTTTTGATTTTTGATTTTTTTTTGGCTCTAAAGAAAATTGACAATAAAATCTTTAGGGTCGCTGGGAATAAATAGGGTCGGTCGGAAAACCGTACCCACACCTATATTTTGTTTTGGCCTAAATATGGTACCTTACAATCTACAACTGTTTACATAATAAATGCAATAATCATTACGCCACTTTACAAATCGTGGATCAAATAATTATTACTAATGTCTAATTCAGTACTACTACCAAATTTCGACTCGCTTTAATATTACAACCGTCTTTAACAATACCGACAAGCGTGTACACGGATGCATCCATGAAATACGCGCGGGCGTACTCACGCACGCACGCAAATACACACACACACACACACACGCACCCATGCACAACCCCTCACACGCGCACATCCACGCGCACGCACGCACGCACGCACGCACGCACGCACGCACGCACGCACACACACACACACACACACACACACACACACACACACATCTGATTCGTGGTTTTTGCCTTCACGCTATTATAGGTAACCGCACAAAAACGCATGGATAAAGTGGGAAACATGTAGAGCGGGCACACACACGTCGTGTATAACACTCACGATCACATATATAATCTAGAGTTTAATTTAAGGAAAACGAATGGACAATCAGCGTACTTCATTATTACATCGACCCCCCTTTCCGCTACACCAGAACGTAAATATAAGCTGCAATCGTGGCTCCATTAAAGACTTTAAATAGTGACTATATCTCTGCTGCTATCTGCGCGGTGCATTTCTCGCCACAGCAGCGCCCACAACAAATTGCTCCACCACACACCGCACAATTCACATCAAACAAGGGGAAGATAAAAAGCTTAAAGTTAATGGGATGATGTGTGCAACAAGGGGGCCGCATCTGTCATCAACACCACCGCAACGATTTCTCAACAATAGATCGACGGATTTCTACTCTGCCGCTTCATACAGACGTGTCTTGCTTTCTGCTAAAGAACTTGCTTTGAAAACTTTATCGACGACAATATCGACGGCGCGACACTCTCCGCAACAAATTAACAACGCGTGCGTTGGTGATGGACAGCGTAGCGTAGAGTGAGAGAGAGAGAGAGAGAGAGAGAGAGAGAGAGAGAGAGAGAGAGAGAGAAGAGAAGAAGAGAGAGAGAGAGAGAGAGAGAGAGAGAGAGAGAGAGAGAGAGAGAGAGAGAGAGAGAGAGAGAGAGAGAGAGAGAGAGAGCGAGAGAGAGAGAGGAGGGGAGGGCAAGAGAGGAAACAAAATGGAGATAAAGGGAAGCATTGCAGTTGGTGTTTGAGAGCACTGGTAGATTGATTAGTGAATTTTACCATGTGGAAATAAAAGGGGAATCATCGAGGCTAGGGAAACTGTTTATTGCAAATATATGAAAACATATGAACTATGCCCTATGCATACAAACTACATCACACATCTTTTGATCGAGTTTCAAGTTCCGAACAACTGGCTTAAGTGCACAATTTCAAAACCGATCATCTTCAGAACCCAGTGACTATGAGATGCACGTGTACAATATAATTATATTATGCTGAAGAGATGATGTATAGTTGTTATCTATGATACATAGATATACAATAATACGTGTGGTATGATAATGCTAGCCGCACACTATCCGACCCGAGCGTGATTTAAAGGCTTACGATTGGATTGAGATGTTCTAGTTTGGCTCGGGA